AATGGCATGCACAGATTTTGTTGTTTTGGCAGACGGAGTTTTGATTTTATGGGCTTCATCCAGAATGATATAGTCCCAAACAAACTCTTTCCCACCAAAGCTAGAAAGCTGCTGCCAGTTGTTGAGGACCATCTGGTAGGTTGTGAGCAAGATGCCCTTTCTACTCTGGATACGCTCCAGATACCTGTTACGTTCAGCTTTGTTGGTCCCATGGAAAACTTTCACTCGCAGGCCTGGGGTCCACTTGGCAAACTCTTTCACCCAGTTGTTAAGAAGGGTGGCTGGGAGAATCAGCAACACGGAACGGATGCGTTCTGCATCAAACATCCCAGAGAGGAACGCGATGATCTGAATGGTCTTCCCGAGTCCCATGTCATCTGCCAGGATGCCGCCCTTCCTTCTGTCTCGATATAACTTGTACAGAAAAGCAACCCCTTCTCTCTGATAGTCATAAAGCTTATCGTGCATTTCTCCATACAGCATGAGTCCGCTCTGACACACATCCACAAAGTTGTTGTCCTCCTCCTCCTCCTCCACAGCCAGAGAAGCGAGGGCTTCCTCCAACTTTTTAATGTTTGCGGTCAGCTTTTCGCTGAAATGGATTTTAAGAGCCTGTTGGAACAATTGGAGAGATGCTTCCAGGTTCCCATTTCTGGCTTCCTGCTTGGCTTGGGACACGCATCTGTAAGATCAAGAGACAGTTCTGTCGTCATGAAGGGACATAATAATAGCAGCGCAGGTAGAATTAGTGGGAAATAACAATAGAATCAGTAGAATTAGTTTAACTTGCTATTTCGCTTCTGTAAGAATTGCTTTGCTTCTATAACAGTGGTTGCCAACCAATGGGCCGGGGACCACTGGTGGTCCGTGAGAAAATGTTGGTGGTCCGCAAAGAAATGTCACCCCCAAAGCAATTAATCCAGGCTGCGCAGGAACACAAGGCTACGCCGCCCACGTGGCCCATGGGAAGACAAGGCTTGCGTCGCTTGCATTACAAACAACATGAGGTAGTGAGGGGAGGGGGGAAAGGGCGGATGGGGGGACCTTGCCCCATGTGCCTCGCCTGTTCACTGTGCTGTTTCTTTCCTTTTCTCCCCCAAACTCCACAAGAAATGAGTCTTTGAGACCCTGCAAGGCATTCTGCTCCAAGAGGCTGCGCCGGCATGACAAGTCTCACAAAGACTCATTTCTGGCAGTTTGGGGGAGAGAAAGACTTCTGCTGCTTTCTTTGCATGAAGCCAAAAGTCTCTCTCTCTTTCTCTCTTTCTTCCCCCCCCCCTCCCCCCCCCCCCCCTCCCGAGAACAGAGCTGGAGATGGTATATCCTGCAATCCCAAATAAAGAATGATAAATTGGTAGGAAAACGGGGTAGGGAATTTTTCTGCAGACTTTTTTGGAGATTTTCCCAGGGTTTCTGGTCCACGGGATTTGAAATTATGAGTTTGGTGGTCCCTGAGGTCCAAAAAGTTGGCGACCCTTGTTCTGTGACAATTAGAATTGCCTTTGCCATTTGCTTCTACCAGTGATCCAAAACCTGCTATCTTGTTGTGTTTTTTTGCACAACTCAGTGCCTGGTGCAGATATGATATGGATGTCAACAGAATTGATCGCTAATCTTCAAGAAATAGATATTGAAACAAGTACCTGGGCAGATCATAATCCAATGACAATTAAATGGAAAGGACAAAGAAGATGATCTAGATGGACGTTAAATAACACTATATTAAAATAAAAAGTCTTTACAGAGAACGGAGAAAGGACTGGCTTTTTTCTTCAAAGAAAATAAAAAAGAAGACACATCAATGCAGAATATATGGGATACAATGAAGGCATATGCCGGAGGCTTGATAATAAACTACACAAGGAAAAGAAATATTATGAAAAGACTAGCCTCTAAGACAGTAGAGGATGAGTATAAGGGACTTGAAAAAAGAGTTACAGAAAATGCCACAGAAAAAGGACATTAAGTTAAAAATGGATACATTTAAACATAAAATGGGATTCATGGAAAAAGAAGAATTAACACAGAAAATCAGAGGTGCGAAGCAGAACTATTTTGAAGATGCAAATAAACCAGGTAGATGGTTAGCATATAAAATGAGAAAGGAGAATCAAGGAAAATATTGCAATTAATAGATAATCGAGAGGGGTGGGTTTTAACTTTCACTGTAAGGCAGTTAGTGGTTAACACACTGGCCTAGAAAACAGGAGACTACCTTAGACATGAAAACCGAATGGATGACTTTCTCACAGTTGTTCTGAGAAAAATAGGTGAAGTTCCTGGGAGGAAGAGGAAACGAAAGCTAAGAGATGGGGAGAAAATGAAAGCTAAGAGAGTGAGTGCAGAGTAGAGCTGGCATCCCAAGGTACAAAAGGAAGAATGTAGCTGCATGCCAGCCTAAAATCAGAGCATCCATTATATGTATGTATGTATGTATGTATGTATGTATATATTCAAAACCAATTGCACAAAGGGGTGGGGGGATAACAACGAGGAAGCCTTAAAGCAAGGAAAAACTTGGAATTTTGACCTGCAAACTCCAGTTCTGGCTTTGCTTTCCTGTATTCTGCTTAACCTTTAGCGAAGTATACCTTTCTCATCAACTGGAGTCAAGGATCGTCCTTACGTAAAGGCCAGCAGCGGAGGCAGCGCCGATACCCTCGTTCTTTTCCCCAAATTATTATTCTGCTGGCCCCTGGCTTTGTCTAAGCCTGAGCCACCTCCCATTGATGAAGGACCCCCGTAGTATTTATGGAGGTTCTCAATCATCCAGATTGTGATTGTCCCGAAGGTGCTTTTCGTTTGCAACCGAGAAAAATAATAATAAGAAAGTCTAAATCGCTTTTGGAAAAAAAAAAACCCACATCTTTGGGGGGGCGGGAAGGCAGGAAAAAAAGGAAGATAAATGCAGGGATCTGGAATCCACCCCCCTCAATCCTGCCAAGCCCATCCACAAAGAAACGGCTTTCCAGGAGCAAATCAGGCGGAGCCCCTTCCCCATCCAAGCGCCCCTCCGAAAATACCTGCGGTACTCTTCCATTTGCTTCGGGTTCAAATCTGCGAGCTCCGCCATAATTTGGCCTGAACGCGAACAAAACACAACTTCCTGGATAGTTCAAATTTAAATCTGCGCGCCGACACGCTAGCCTATCCAACCTATCACCGAGAGGCATGCAAATAAGCTGGAGGCGGGTTAGCCATTCAGGTCACTCCAAAGAAAAGAGGCGGAGTCGACCTCCATTCATTCATTCATTCATTGGGACAAGTTGCTCGATTGGTACACATAGATGGGCACACTGGTTGCTATCGATTTCTTGATTTACAAAAAATGAAAATAAAAATCGGGGCAACCAAAGCGTCTTACCCCGCCCCCCACCCCAAATAAAGCATGGTATGCAAGAAAAAAAAATCATATCCCTTTTAAACCAGATGCTCTTACTTCTTTGGGGGAAAAAAGACAATTCGTTTTGCATGAGTTACGTGGAAGTAATCTCCATAAATAAACAAATAGGGGAACCTAATTTTTGTTCAGTCGAGCGAAAAGTCACGCATCTACTGTTGCAAGGTGCGTATCAGCGCTTTCTCAATCTCAGCAGCTTTTAAGATACGTGGGCTTCAACTCCCAGCGTTCTGGATGATCCTGGGTGTTGAAGCCCACTCAGTTTAAAGCTGCGCAGAGGTCTCCAAACTTGACAAATTTTAAGACTTGTGGACTTCAACTCCCAAAATTCTCCAGCCAGCATAGCTGGGAGTTGAAGTTCACATGTCTTAAAAGTTGACAAGTTTGGAGACCCCAATACACAACTATTAGAATAACCCCAAAAAGCTTTGAAAGGCATCAGTAGAGAGGTTTTGTTCTCTCCAATGACAGCGTGAGAAATCTTGAGCAGCCCCAGGGGTCATCCACAGCTGCCCTAGGTTGGCTGGGCATTATGGTAGTTGTAGTCCATGTGTTTTTGAAACTCAGGGAATCCTGGGAGTTGAAGTCCACCTGTCTTAAAGTTTCAGTTGGCAACCTTCGGAAACACTGGTTCAATCCTTCAGTAGAGAAAAAATAGGGAGACCCAACACTTTGGGGGATCCTGAGAATATTTTTGGAAAGAGGTGGAGATTTGGGGTGGAAAGGGAGAGAGAAATAAGATTCCACCATGGAAGGAAGGGAGGAAAACTCCCTCGCCCCAGCCCATGGGCTCCTCCTGCTGTCACTCCAATCCAGAAACGCCAATAGGTGGTTGGACAGAATTCTGGGAATTGAAGCTCACAAGTCTTAAAGTTGCCAAGCTTAGAGGCTTCTGGTTGAGAGACACAGGTGTACGATCTATTCCAAGAACTCTGCAGATCTGTCTGGGAGCAGTGATGAGGTAGGCTAATTAATTTTCTTTCCCTTGCTTTTTCTCCAAATGGTTGGATACAGATTGTAACTCCCCAAATCCCCACTGGGGAAGGACACGTGGGAGATCGTGCTAAGATCCAGTGTTGTGCAGAACATTCCTTTATCTCAGGGGTCTTCAAACTTGACAGCTTTAAGATGTGTGGACTTCAACTCCCAGAATTCCTCCTCCAGTCATGTTAGCTCAGGAATTCTGGGAGTTGAAGTCCACAAGTCTTAAATTTGCCAAGTTTGAAGACCCTTGATTTTTCTGATGAATCAAATGGCTATTAATCAGGAACGTTAGAAGGGTGAATTCCCGTAAATCTGGAAACGCCAGTTTCCTGCATCTCCCATCTTGAGCCTACTTGGCAGGGGATGATGGGAACTCTCGCCTGTCAACGTTAATATACCCGGTGGTGAAGCGTCCTAGCCCTGCAGTTGCCGCTTCTTCCCGACAGGGGGCAACCGCCTCCTTTCCCGGTGACGCCAAGCGATTGGCTGAGAGGAGGAGGAGGAGGAGCCTCGCGCCGCTTTCCAAAGACGGCGCTCCCGTTGTGCGCATGCGCTCCGGCCGGTCCTCTCAACCACCGCTCCTCTTTTCCTGCTCGTCGAGCTCCACGTGACGTGATGTTGACGGAAGAGGCGGGGAGTGAAGCTCGCCGGGCGGAGACGGAAGCAGGAAGCCCGCCGCTGAGAGGGAAAGACTAGGAGCCCAAACAGGTCGCCGAAACCGAGCCGCCTCGCTCTGTTTTCCGCCCGTCGTTCGAGCCAGGCCCGCACCTGAGCCGCCGCCATGTCCAACATGGAGAGTATCCTGGGTGACGCCCGTCGGGAAAAATACGGCCGGGCTTCGATTGGTGGTGGAGGGCGAGAAAATCCCGCCTCCTGGCGAGATTGATGGAGCGGGTGGGCGTGGCTAGTGGGGGGGACCCTTACAGCAGGAGGCGCCCTTGAGAGGGTGGTGATACGTGTGGGAGGAGCTTCAGCGCTGAACGCTTTCTTTATTGGCGTTTCTGGATTGGAGTGACAGCGGGAGTAGCCCATGGAGTGGGGCGAGGGCGTTTTCCTCCCTTCCTTCCATGGTGGAATCTTTGTTTCTCTTTCCCTTTCCACCCCAAAATCTCCACCTCTTTCCAAGAATATTCTCAGGATCCCCAAAAGTGTTGGGGTCTCCCCATTTTTTCTCTCCTGAAGGGTTGGACCAGTGCTTCTGAAGCTTGGCAACTTTAAGACAATGGTCTTCAAACTTGGCAACTTTAAGACTTGTGGACTTCAACTCCCAGGATTCTCCAGTCAGCTATGCTGGCTAATGTCAGGATTCCCCCAGTTGCCCCCCATCTAAATCATGAGTGTCAAGCCAAACTTCCAAAACCTCAAAAGGATTTATTGGGAGTTAACATGTCCGGCACTGCCTGGGTGTAGCCAACTCTTGAGAAGCATCATTCATTGTCATCCTTGACCCTGATCTTCCCCACCCCCTGGGTGTATCGTAATTCATATTCTCCAATGGGACACATCCATAGTCAAGAGTCATCAATCATGTTCTCCAGTTAGAATGTTGCCGGGCAGAAACTTCGGTCACCTAGTTACTATCTCTGAAAAACTATGTAAGAAATGCACTTTACATTTCCAAGCTGCCGCACTGCTCTTTCAAACGCCTTCCCCCCCATCCCCCCTTTCTGTTGGCAACTCTAAAACAACCATAGAAATATTTTATGGAGTTGACAGCTGGAGAATTCTGGGTGTTGAAGTCCACAGGTCTTAAAGTTGCCAAGTTTGGAGACCTCTGATCTAGATAATGGGTGTGATTTTGCATTATTGATTGAAATCGGTTAGAGCTTCCCTCTCTGGGAGACCTGGGCTTTCCTAATACAGAAATAATAAAAGTGATTAAAAATATATATCAACATAGATAGAGGAGAGCCTCACTGATTGGGATTTTCTAGAGAATTCTGTGTGGGGGTCAAGTGTAAGAAGAGGTGGTTGTTCTGACATTAGCATAGAGGTAGGTAGTCCTTGATTTAACAACCACAATTGAGCCTAAAATTAATGTTGTTCTTGAGTGAGAAATTGGTTAAGTGAGTTTTGCCCCATTTTACTCCTTGCCATGCCACATTTGTTAAAAGTGAATCTGTACAGTTATTAAATTCATAACGGTTGTTAAGTCAATCTGATTTCCCCATTGACTTTGCTTGTCAGAAGGTCAGAATATGATTCCTGGACACTGCAAGTGTCGTAAAATGTGAATCAGTTGTCAAGCATCCAAATGTAAATCCCGTTATCATGGGGATGCTACAACAGTAAGTGTGAAAAACGGTCATAAGTCATTTTTTTTCAGTGATGTAACTTTGAATGGGCACTATATGAACTGTGGTAAGTCTAGGACTTATCTGGATAATGGACATTAATTGCATTATTTAAATTGGTTGGAGCTTCCCTCTGTGGGAGACTCGGGCGCTTATGTAATGCATAAACAATAAAAGCGATTAAAATATATATAGCAATATAGCCTGGCTAGGAGAGCCCCAAAGTACAGATTGGGAATTTCTGGAGAAAACTGTGTGAGGCAAGCGTAAGGAGAGGTTGTTGTTGTTGTTCAATTGCTAAATCATGCCTGAGTCTTTGCAACTCCATGGACGATAGCATGCCAGGCCCCCATCCTCACGCTGTACATAGCAGAAATAACCAGGTATAAAGTATGCTAATTATACTATAAACCAAGTATACCAAGAACTAAATAAGTTAAAGCTTCTAGGCATCTGCTCATTTTCTGTTATTGTGTGCCGGAGAATATGGACTAGTTCAAGAAAGGGTGTATGTATCCATATAAATCTGTCAGAATGGAAAGACCTCCCCTCCCCATATCCATTTTGCAGTTTCAGAGTTGTGGTTTACAGATTTAGTATGGCTGTGATTGACGAGAACATATGCCCGCCCTAAGTTTCTTTGATGAAGCGCTAAATGTGTTCGTTTTGCAGCTTCTGGCTGCGCTTCCTGACCAGCTGGTTAGGCTTTTATGTGTGTGTGTGTGTGTGTGTTTCTGTCTGACATGACACACTGCAGTGTCATGCTTGGATGTTTCTGGTTTCTGTCAGCTGATTCAGTTTTTCTGGGTTTTGGGTTTTGTTTTGTTTTTTTAGCTAAAGTTGTATATTTAAGAAAGTTGAGAACAAAAATATAAATTTTGTTTTATCTGCTGTCTCCATTCTAAATCCTACTTCTGTTCTTCTGGTTGGTTATAAAGTGCATGGACCATAAGCTCTGTTTCCACATCTTGACAGCTGACTTAGATAAATCACTTTATGACAGCTGTAAGAAATGTGAATCCTAGTCATTTAATCTCTCTTTTATCATGTTTGCTCTAGTCAGGGCATATCCTAACCATTTTAAATGACAGATACCAGATGTGTGCTGTGGAAATCAGATAATTGATAGGTAGTAAACAACAACAAGAAATGAAAATAGCCTGTACTGTTTTTATCACCTTAGTGGTTGTATGAATGTTTGCAGCTCAGATCTGATATCCCTACCATTATGAATGTTGAGTTTTGTGATCTTTTTAAAAGAGTTTGAACTGTTTATCTTGATCTTTGGTTTGGTGGCTGAAAAAAACACAAGCTTTCTGTATACCAAAGGTCTTCAAACTTGGCAAGTTTAAGACGTGTGGACCAACTCACAGAATTCCTGAGCTAAGATGATTGGAGGAGGAATTCTGGGAATTGAAATGCACAAGTCTTAAAGCTGTCAATTTTGAAGACCCCTGCTGTACAGTAGTTGCTATTGGTACAGAAATGTGAATCCTAGTCGTTTAGTCTCTATTTTTAAATCATATTTGCTTTAGGTCAGGACACAAGGATATGTCATCCTAACCATCTTTAAAGACAGCTACCAGATAATATGCTGTGGAAATCAGATAATTAATAGGTGGTAAACAGCAACAAGTTAACATAGAGTGTACCTAATTTCTGTCACCTAGTGGTTGTATGAATGTTTGCAGCCCAAATCTGATATCCCCACCATTATGAATGTTGAGTTTTATGATTTTTGTTAAAAGAGTTTCAACTGGTTATTTTGATCTTTTGTTTGGTGACTGAAAAAAACACGAGCTTTCTGTTTATAGGCAATAGTTCCTATCGGTAGAGAATCGTTTCAGTTTAATTATTCCAATAGTAGAAAAGAATTCTGTTCTTGGTAAATTGAGCTTTGAAAATCTGATGAGGATGTGCTTTCTTGATTATATGGAATGTATGGATAATGGCTTCAGTAAAGGGAATTCCAATTATTGTTATGCTTTGAGAAAATACTACATTTTTATTTCTGTCTGCCAGTAATATCTAATCATAAGTTGGAATTAAAATAGCCTCCTAATGGAGGTATGTATTAATGGGATTAATTGACCTATATTTAAAGAAAACTAGGGAGTATTTTCATTTTATAGCCTGCTTTATAATAACTAGAATTGTTTTTTTTTTTTTATTGATTGATATAATGTTTAAGCTAGAAAAGGGATTATTTGTTTCTTCCATGGATTCCTGATGGGTTATCAAAATCAAGCAAGAATTTTAAACCCAGACAATTGCATAAAGCAAAACATCTTGGTTGGCATGGAATAAACGTGACAATGTCTATATTCAGAGAGACTTTATATCTAAATATTCTCTTCCTCTTAATATTAAATTTTTAAATTTAAAATATTTCAATTTCAGAAAGCTCCTTTTCAGGTTGCTAGGTGCATGACATGTTCTTATTTCAGTACATTCTTAACTTGAAATCTAGAGCATCTTTTCAATTTGAAATTTGCTGCCAAGGAGCTGAACAGAAATGCAAAAAAGTGTGATAAAGAAGAAAAGGTTGAAAAAGTCAAAATTAAGAAGGTAAGTAATTAATATAGATATTTTCTCTATAGTACATGAGAAATTATTACAGTGACATTAAAATTATACATAAAATTGCAATTATTTATGATTATTATTTCTGTCTAGGTATACTCACATCAAAGAGTAAAAGTAATTTGTTTTCACAGACTAACGTACAGAATTTCTGCCTCCCAAATATGTACAAATTGTTTCTTTAACCCTTAGTTCTGGCTTGGACTTGACAGTATTCATGTTTTCATTAAGGCATAATGCAGTTCATTTGAGAATAATCTAGTCAGCAGTCTTCTAACATTTCTCAGATTCTGGATACCCGTGACAATATCAGCTCAATCCTCTCAATATTTATTTTATTTTTTATTAAATTTATTTGCTGTCCATCTCATACCCAACAACTCTAGGCAGCTTACAATATAAAAACATTCAAACCATCAGTTATAAAATAATACAGCAGATAAACTGATTAACACAAGATGGCAATATCCACTCATTTAGAATGCCTCCGAAAATGTATATTGAATATTGACTGATAACCACGTTGGCTGGTTGTCGTAATTGGCTTCTTGCTATGTATCTGCCATCATTTGCAAATATTTTTAAAGAGCTGCTTTTCTTGGGGCCAGTCATTCAAAGTGCTGATCTGCTGCTAGTGTATTTGAGAGAACAAAAGCATCTAGATAGTTTTGGTCACCACGATGTAGAAAAGATGTCCAGACTCTAGAAAGACTGCAGAGAATAGCAACCAAGACAAGAGACTAAAACATACGATGAACAGTTGAAGGAACTGGATATGTTTAGTCTGATGAAAAAATAAAACTAGGGGTGACATGATAGCAGTGTTCCAATATCTCAGGGGCTACCATAAAGAAGAGGGAGTCAAGCTATTCTCCAAAGCACCTGGAGGCAGGACAAGAAGCAATGGGTGGAAACTAATCAAGGAGAGAAGCAACTTAGAACTAAGGAGAAATTTCCTGACAGTGAGGACAATTAACCAGTGGAACTCCTTGCCTCCAGAAGTTGTCAATGCTCCAACACTGGAAGTTTTTAAGAAGAGATTGGATAACCATTTGTCTGAAGTGGTGTAGGGTTTCCTGCCTAAGCAGGGGGTTGGACTAGAAGACCTCCAAAGTCCCTTCCAACTCTGTTATTCTATTCTATTCTATTCTATTCTATTCTATTCTATTCTAAATAGACACCAGGGACAATAATCATCTACCGTAAAGTCTCTGTGCGCCTAGGAACGGGATTATCAAACGCTAACATTTGTTCTGTTCTTTCCATAAGAGAGTGAAATAATTGTGTTCCTTTGCTCTATTTCGAAGGCCATTCAGAAGGGTAACACAGAAGTGGCAAGAATCCATGCGGAAAATGCCATCCGACAGAAGAACCAAGCGATCAACTTCCTGCGCATGAGCGCCCGGGTAGATGCTGTGGCAGCAAGAGTGCAGACGGCCGTCACAATGGGCAAAGTAAGTAGGCAAATAAATATATCGTTTATTGTTCACCCCTGCCTTAATAATAATAATAATAACGCATGATGGTAAACACGCCTAATAATCCTTCCTCCTCCTATTTTCCCCCACATTATCAACTGTGAGGTGAGTTAAGCTGAGAGAGAGAGGAACTGGCCCAAAGTCTCCCAGTTGGCATTCATGCCTAAAGTGGGATTAGAACTCACAATCTCCTGGCGATTGGCCCGAAGTCCCCATGCCTAAGGTGGGACTAGAACTCACAGTTTCTTATGTTATATCCTGGTGCCTTAACCACTAGAACACACAGGCTCTCCTCTTTTATCAAGGAACATATGCAGCAAAAAAAACCCACCTTGGTCTGTACTTGACATTATTTGGGGAATACCATGATAATGCCTAAGATTTACTGCCATAAATCCTTGGCAATTCCAGATAGCAATGAGAAAGTTCTCCACATGAAATATTGAAGAATCTGGGACTATGCTCACACACTATGTTGAGCCACTGTTGGCTTAATTATTGTTTATTGAATAAGCCAGACTGCAGCCTCATCAATGAGCTCCAGTCTCTAAATGTGTGCAGGACATTAGATCCTAATCAGAGAGACGGTATTATTGAAGTCCTTAGTGCTCTCTGAGCTTGGTGAATTTCTTGCAGACATTTCATTACCAAACTAGGTAACGTTATCGATATACTGATGATGGATTATGAAATGTCTTGTAAGAAAAACCACCAAGCTCAGAGAGCACCAAGGATCTAATATTTCAACCTTGAGCTACAAATATTCTCTCCTGTTGAGACAATATTAGCATTGAGTATCCTGCTCGTGATTGAAGAAAAATCTTTGGTTGGCTACACTTATTTAAATTAACAATAAACTATGATGTACCAGCAACTATGCCTGTATTCGTGCAGCATACTAATACTAATCTAAATAAAAGATACTATAGTAAAATGTGATATTAAACTAACCCTTCTCTGTGCCAGATTGTGTAAGTAGCATGGAGGCAGAAAAAAACACTCACAAAATTTCACTTATTCGCCTTACAAAATACAGTCTAAAAATAACTTTTCCCAGTATGCCTTGAAAAATAATTTACAAGGTAGCTGTTCATGGTAGATATTTTTTTCCACCTTAAATACCACACCAGCAGTTCTACAGATGTAATAATAACACTCCAAAATCTGCATCAGGACAATACACGATCTCTACCTTGGAAAGGAATGAGAATTGGAATGGGAATATGAATAGAATTCTTTATTAGCCAAGTGTGATTGGATACACAAGGAATTTGTCTCAGATTCATAAGCTCAGTGAACATACCAGTGATAAATCATGGTCCTAGTCATTGTAAAATGCATTCTCTATCTACTTTTATCACGTGCAGTGTCACAAAATAGGAGCTAAGGAAATTGTGGGGTGAATGGTGGGTGGGAAAACACTCTTGATATGATTATCATACACTTTCTTTTCTAGGTAACAAAATCCATGGCTGGAGTAGTTAAATCAATGGATGCTACGTTGAAAAGTATGAACTTAGAAAAGGTAAAAAGGATACATTTTGCCATTTATTTTTTAATATTTGCTGCTACTCTTTTGATGTCTTCTACTTAAACCATTTGTTCACCTACAGATTTCTGCCCTGATGGATAAATTTGAACAGCAGTTTGAAACCTTAGATGTTCAGACAGCACAGATGGAAGATACCATGAGCAGTACTACCACGCTGACAACACCACAAGTAGGTGCCCATTAAAGCAGAGATGTCTGCCTCCTCTTGCAGTAGTCTCTATCGGTGATTCTCAACCTCAAGAACTTTAACAGATTTAACAGAGTTGGAAGGGACCTTGTAGGTCATCTAGCCCAACCCCCCACCTAAGCAGGAGACCCTACACCATTTCTGACAAATGGCAGTCCAGTCTCTTCTTGAAAGCCTCCGGTGATGAAGCTCCCACAGCATCTGAAGGCAAGCAGCTCCATTGGTTGATTGACTTTTTTGATTGTTCCATTGGCTACCTGGCTGAGGAATTCTGGGTGTTGAAGTCTACCCATCTTAAAGTTTGCTAACATGATCGCCAACGTCCCATGACGGATATAGCACAAGAAGAAGAAGAATCTTAAAGTTCTTGAGATTGAAAACACTGGTCTACTATATATATTTTAGTGACTACAGTATCTTGGCCCTGGTGAAATAGGTTTGCTCCTTCATGGTGGGTCTCCTTTTTGTTTGAGAACCAATAAGTTTTATAATGTTTTCGGTTGAGAGACTCATATTTTAATTAAAAAAAACATGTAAAGCCGGTTTCTTACAAAAATACTGATGGGCAGTGTACAATCTATGTAAGTGATACGTTGAGTGTTTTTTTGAAGTCTGCAGAATAGAATAGGAATAGAATAGAATAGAATAGAATAGAATAGAATAGAATAGAATAGAATAGAATAGAATAGAATAGAATAGAATAGAATAAGGAATGAAGAATAGAATAGGAATAGAATAGAACAGAACAGAACAGATCAGAATTGAATTCTTTATTGGGCAAGTGTGATTGGACACACAAGGAATTTGTCTTGGTGCAAATGTTCTCAGTGTGCATAAAAGAAAAAGATACATTCATCAGGAGTCAAGAATCATCAGGTACAACACTTAATGATAGCCATAGGGTACAATAAGCAATCAATCATACTAGGAAACAATATAAATTATAAGGATACAAGCAACAAAGTTACAGTCATATAGTCACAAGTGGGAGGGGATGGGTGATAAGGAGTGATGAGAAGATTAATAGTAATAGTAGTGCAGACTTTGTAAATAGTTGGAAAGTGTTGAGGAAATTATTTGTTTAGCAGAGTGATGGCATTCAGGAAAAAAACTGTCCTTATGTCTAGTTGTTCTGGTTTGCAGTGCCCTATAGCGTTGTTTTGAGAAAAATGTTGCAATCCATTTCTTTATCTTAATAGTGTTAATTAGGATTGAAAAATGGAAGCAAGAAAGACAATTTTTCACATTTCATTGTCTGCTGTGAAGCTTTGAGAACGTTCTTACGGGCACTGAAGGAGCAACCCAAGAATCAATAAAAGTACTATAATCCTAAAACCATCCATTAAAAAAAAAAGAGTGTAACGACCGCAGTGCATCCCACACAACTACAAATTCCCTTTCATGGCCAACAACTCTTTCAGTACAAAATCCCCAATAATTATCTCTGTTGTGTTGCTGCCCTCTTAAGTGTAATTCAATCTTTTATGACGTTTGCCTTTTCAGAACCAAGTAGATATGCTCCTTCAAGAAATGGCTGATGAAGCTGGGTGAGTGTGAATAACCAAAAGTTGGAATCAATGCGGTGCATGAAAAAAAAACATGTTTGCGGGAAGGAATTCCTGGTTTTCTCCAGCTCAGTAGAGTCCCCCAGTATTGAGAAAATGGACAGGCATAGCATGATCTAACTTGTTGCCTCTAATCTGGTTCCATCCATGGGCCAACTTTTGCTGGCTGGAGAATTAAAGGTGCTGATGTTCAACACATCTGGAAAGTAGCATTTTGAGGAAACTGAACTAAGTCATAACCTACTGTTAATATTTCCTAAAGCGGAAGAATTCTAATGCTCTCAGAGCTAATATTGACCTTTTTCTGATCATAAGTTAACAAGATTGGGATCAGTACCCAAGGTCCACATTTGACAATAGAAGCAGCAAGAAGGGATTCTACCCCCACCCCCCACCCCAAACTATGCTTATCTCAAACCCTGTTGTAATGCAGGTGTAGAGGTTTGCATAATTGAACCATTATGTGGGTTGATTTTGGCTTGTGCGGTGCAATGTGTAACTTTTGATTCGGGTATATTTTTAAATTAAGTGAGATGGTTTGGGGTTTCTTGCTGGAATATGGAATGCCATATCTGCATGCCAATGTTTAATTTGCTTGGTTGTATTTTTCTCCCTTTGAATTTTAGGCTTGATCTGAATATGGAACTACCTCAGGGACAGACAGGCTCTGTTGGCACAAGTGTTGCTTCAACAGAACAGGTAAATATTGCCTGTCCTGGCTTGTTCTTTTCTCCCCTTATACCAAGGGTCTTCAAACTTGGCAAGTTTAAGACTTGTGGACTTCAACTCGCAGAATTCCTGAGCTAACATGACTGGAGGAGGAATTCTGGGAGTTGAAGTCCACAAGTCTTAAATCTGTCAGGTTTGAAGACCCCTGCCTTATACTATAGTCTGGGGGATTCTGGGAGTTGAAGTCCTCAAATGTTTAAAGTTGCTGTAGTTGGGGAACACTACCATAGAAGATTGGCTGGGATACTGTTAATATTTAAATGCTTAAATATATCTTGCTAATGTCCAGTATGGCTTTCTCTTATCATTTGGGGCTAGATTACTTAAAATAAAATAACCTGCAACTTTTTAACGTCTTAAACGATTTCCTGTCCTTGCATCATTTATTCTGTATGGCCTTGTTTGTCTGCTTAATTTATTAAGGTCCAGAGGCCGCTCACTTTGAGCTTCTATATAGTTCTTGGAAAATGTCCAAAGCCCTTTTTTTTTAAAAAAAAGTAATAAACCCACTTATCTGGCACAGGCTTTTCTTGACTTGCAGAGTTTGCTTGTATATGATCGCCACCCCTTCAATTTGTTACTCTTTTAACGTGTTTTGTCTCTTGATCACATATTCATAACTCTCTCTGTTCTGAAGGACGAGCTCTCACAAAGACTGGCACGTCTTCGTGATCAAGTGTGAAGGGGAGCCAGATCTGCAGCGTTGTACATATGCTTCCAGCTGCATTCTCTGTACATATTTTGTGGCCTAACCAGGATTTCTGTTGAGGTGTGAACACCCGTCTCTCTCTCTCTTTTTCCCCACCTTTGCTGTGCTTTCCAAATTCATCTAACTCAGTAGTATTTTGCCATAAGTGCATTTTCTAAGTCTGTATTGTACATTGAAGGTTATATTTTTGCAAATCTCTTTTTCAATGATTAAAATGTCTGTTTTATCGGATGTCACCGCAAGTAATCAAACAGAAAGAACAGCTTGTATAATTTTAAGTTATATAACAAGTTTTAAATTATGGATAATGTTTGCAATTAAATCCCTAAAATGGTGTTTGTGATTGACAGGGTGTCACGTTAATTATCAATAGGATAAAATATATGTGTGTGTGTCCACCAGTATTACATCACTGGAGAATCTTTCCAAACCCAGCTTACTTGTCATGACACCTAAAATTCAAGGAATATTTATGCTGTCCTTATAACCTGAAACTTATATTGATATCAACCGTTCAGTACCAAAGGAATAAAAAATATTTTTCAACGCCTTTGCCTAGATTTCCTTAAAAATATACATGACACTCCCATAGAGAGGGATACCTTGATACTGTAAAGGAGACAAACCAAAGCATCAAGTTTGAAATGTCATTTTAAGACTGTGGTGTGATTGGATGTGATTGCTTTCTGCTGCGAGTGGGGTGGTCGACTGAATTATATCAGAAAAGGAAAATGAACAAACATGAGCGTGCATCTGAAGTAATCATGAAGTATGTTTCAATTCTGTCTTTGTATCTATGCTTAAAACAAATGGTAAGATAAAAGTATCTTCAACTCAAACTCTTATTCCTGATGACTTTTTTGAGTCTATGCCATTTTCGTGTTGCTGGTCACTGACTGAATAGATATTATTACTTACTTTTCTTCACAGTTGAGGAGAAGTTTGTTCTCACATCCTTCTGGGATGTTTTTCCAGTTTCCCAATCTAGCCTAAAGACGTAGGTTTTCCTGGTGATCTCTCAAAATTTATTTATTTTTATCCTGTCTTTACTATTTTGACAAATAACTCAAGGCGGTGAACATATCCAACCCACCTTCCTCCTGCTATTTTTCCCTGCAACAACAACCCTATGAGATGAATTGGGCTGAAAGAGAGGATCTGGCTTTCACGGCTAAGGCGGGACTTGAACTCACGGTCTCTTGCTTTCTAGCCTGGTGCCTTAACCTTTAAGCCTAATTAACTTGGAAGCCCAGATCAGGTTGGCTAATTACCACGTCCTGAAACTAAAAGGAATGAAAGAGAATTGGTGGCACAGTGGTCAGAATGCAGTACTGCAGGCTAACTTTGCCGACTGCCAGCATTTCAGCAATTCGATTCTGACTGGCTCAAGATTGATTCAGCCTTCCATCCTTCCGAGGTTGGTAAAAGGAGGAGTCAGATTGTTGGGGACAATATACTGACTCTGTAAACTGCTTGGAGATGGCTGTAAAGCACTGTGAAGTGGTATATAAGTCCAAGTGCTATTGTTATTCTTCTTTTAAAATATAAATATCCTGCACATTGGTATTTAGAGGGTTTCAGCTTTTCTCGCTCAGGGAAGGTTAGATACCTTTCTGTGGGTTGAAATTATATTTAACGACTCCAGCGTACCACTTTCACTTTGCATTTCTCAGGTGAAGCTGCAGTTGACCTTTTACAACTAAGAGTTTTAACTTCAGTTTGGGCCCAGGTAAAAATGACTGAGAGAAGCTTTATGAAATTGGAGGGATGTTTAACATAGGCCGGTTGTAATTCAACATGAATCAGCACAAGAAAAACCTGAGCAAGTAAAAGCTGTTGAATTGATTTTTTTTCTTTTAATACAACAAAATATTCTGAACATCTGGGAAGGCCCACAAACAGGTGGCCCGCATATCTTGAAGAAAAAGAAGCAAGTGACAGATAAAGCTGTGGTGGTGCAGTGGTTAGAATGCAGTATTGCAGGCTAATTCTGCCGACTGTCGGCAGTTCAACACTGACCTGCTCAAGGTTCACTCAGCCTTCCATCCTTCTGAGGTTGGTAAAATGAGGACCCAGATTGTTGGGAGGTAAAATGCTGACTCTAAACCACTTAGCGCTGAAAAACACTGTAAAGCAGTATGTAAGTCTTAAGTGCTATAAAGGAAAACAAGCAATTTTTACAAGCAATCTTGAAGTCTACCATTCCTTGTATTTTCATAGCAGAATGGCATGGAGGAAGCGAAGGCAGTGTTTTTCTGTTCCCCAAACTGTTTCTTTATCTAATGGTTAGACACAGTGTCATTTTATCTCTTCGAGAATAAACATATGTCCCTCTGAATGTGTTCTTCCATTTGTTCTATGACTGCATAAATCTGCACAGACTTATTTCTGATTTCTTAGCAGTGTGTAGTGGGAAGTTATAGTTTCATAAGTCCAGATGCACAATTCTATTTTCATTTGTTTTTTTTCACAAAAGAATTAAAAATGATCCAAATTCCAAGCAAAGTTCCTTGAATTAAAAATGATCCTAATATCATGCAAAACTCTTTGAAACTTTTTTATTTTGTGAGGCTTTGTTAGATGTGAAGGAGAGTCAGATAACTACAGGTCTTCAGTTACCAGTTTATACGCAAGAATGGAAGAATATTTATGTTTAAAGCACTTGTTTAGTGTGACTTTATTAGGTGTTACATTTTTAAATATATATTTTTTTTAAAAAAATGACTTGAGACTGCAGTTAAGTTACATAATCTACTAAATAAGATGATGTACACATGGATATAACTACAAATTAGATTTAAGAAAAAAGTTGAACAGTTTGCCAATTTTCAAAAGGAGAACATCACTACAACATGTATTTCATTATGTTTTATCCTTCCAGTGTTTTCAAGTTATTTTCATAACAACTGGCCTGTATTTACCCAATACGTTTAGCATTGAATAGAGATTTAAATCTTTTTTTGTTCCTATTGTAAATATAGAAGTGTTTTTGCATAATTCCTGTTTTCGTATTTTCTTTGTGTATTCTGTTTCTTATTGCATTTGACTGTGATCTTAAAAAAGAGATTCAGAATCATTTTCCTCTTGATAAATTTGATTTTTTTCTTCTTCAATGAAACCAGTAGAGGGGAGTAGAACACCTTGTTCTGAGGACCAGTAAATTTCACTCAAACAACCTTCAAGATACCCTTGTCCATTTCTATTTCTTAAGAAAACCATCCTACAAATTAAAATCCATGCTTCTTAGCTGTTCCCATTTCACTTTCAGCTTGCTTTGTCTTCCACTTTTGTCAATTTAAAAGTAAAATTGTTTTAATAATCCACTAAATTAATGTGTGCAATGTGTGTTTCAAACTTAAACCCCTTACTTATATGATCTCGGTCTTAATTCTGATCATGAAGCTTGAAAGCAGCACAGAAATGTTGATACTTTTCTATTTTAATTGCCAAGATCTGGAATTTAGAATCAAAATTTCTACATTTGAAGGTTTAATCGTGGTTTGTTTTTTCATCTACAGTATCCCTTGAAAGAATCTTAAAGACTATCTAGAACCATCTTTGAATCTCATGGAAATCCATCTGAATATTTTCATATTTGTTATGTTTGCTTTCATTTATATTCATTTTAAGTCTATGATTACCTATGAACGTAGTTGGAATGTCTGATTTATAAAACTTTTTGATTGGGGAGAGATGTTATGGTAAAATATTTTGATAATCTGTAGGTGATGTGACATGGGATCATGCCTCCTCACATCATTGGAATGTTATTGTATTTTACTATTTGTTATTTTTTTATATAATTAGCTATTGAGGTTGTGCTATCAAACTCAGCCATAAGGGGGCAGTATGCCCTATATATTGACTACACCCCCACCCCCACCCCGTTTTTCCCAGGTAGTAGTAGTAACTGGGATACTGCAGAATCAAGAGGACAAAAGGAACAATGCATGGAAGGTATAGCACATAACTACCACTAGTGAATCACATGGGTATTGCAAGCTCCACATTTTAAAAATATACAATATATTGAATCCTTGGTACATATTGCCCTCTGGTGGCTCACATGAGGATTACAGGCACAAAGGAAAGTACTGCTTTTATAGGACATACTGCCTTCTGGTGGCTGAATATGGTTTTATGGAAATACAGAAATCTAATGGACATATAGACATATTATTCCTGAAGGTTCACTCAGGTATTGCAGGCTCAGTGAGGAAAATTGAGTTAGGATCAGGTCTAGGATTAGTCACTTTAGTGAGGAGGGCACCATTGGAAGAGCTGAAGAAATAGGATAGAACATCACTGAGTCATCATTTCAGCTCTATTTCCTTACTAGCTCGATACCCGTGCTTCACTACAAAACTATGTGATCAGGCTTATTTTTTCAGGAGGAAAATAAGGGGGGGGGGGCGGGAATTCTGCCTCTGCCTACCAGCATCCATTGGTATTCATCTGGCTAGCATCCTGTCAGTGTGTGAGACAGTTGAGGGCTGTTTGGAAACTGAAACAGTATTTTCTGGGTGAGCAAGAAGGAAATAGCAAGGAACCTGGGCGTGGCTTAGCTCAACTGTTCTGTACTAAAGCTGGTGGCTGCTGTGAAACTGAAACTCACCTCCTCTGCTTGTGTTTTGCATTTGGAATAGATTTCTTTTCAGGTGGGGAGGAGGAGTAAAACTCCTTAGCATCAGAGTGTGTTAATAATAATAATATACGAAATACTAATACTCTGATGGTCATTTCGAAAAATCCTTTCTTAGCACCTAGAAGCCAAGAGGAACATACGGGCCCTATTTTCAAGTTTGTAAGCTTTACGGTTCTGGAGATTTTGTGATGATACCTGAGTGCTATTTAACTTTTATATATATAGAAGATACAGATCTAAACAGAGAAACAGAATGATCATAGATCACTGATTGACAAGTTTAATGCCAGGCTCAAAACTAAGAATAACACTTGGTGATTCTTCCAAGCTGAGACCTTTATTGCTTTACGCCTATATACAAAAACTTGCCAGGCTGAGGACTCTACTATCTGCATCTACAATACTCTGGGAACTATTAGGGAGGGGCTGTCTTCACCCTCTTTCTCTCACACATAATACAAGTAGTCTTCGATTTACAAAGGTCATTTAGTGACTGTTCAAAATTACAACCAGCACTGAAAAAAGTGACTTATGGCCATTTTTCATATTTATTACCTGTATAGCATTCCCAGGATCATGTGATCAAAATTAAGATGTTCATACTTATCATTGACTGGCTCTGATGGTTAATACAGGTTGTTGCTGGCGCCCTATATGTCAACCAAGTATCTATTTTTTATTTTATTTTATTTAGTTTGGAGTGTGGTTAGATGCTGCTGAGGCAGCCAACTCTAGTTAAGCCAGCTATCTGTTGGGGTGATATAGTTTTGGGGTCCCACCCACTCTTGCTGTCTTTAACCATGACCTATTCAATAAGCTACAATTGGCCAAGTGCCACTCCATTCTAAACCTGAAACCACGGATCCAATGAATCTCGGCTTCCCCAGAGCAGTCAGTTTCAGTCTTAATAATTATTTTAAAACCCTTGCCGTGTGATTTGAAGCTCTTAGCAAGTACAGGTTTTCCTGCAGGGAGTGTTGTAAATTAGTTCCAGTCTATAGGGGAATACTGTAACGAATGGATGTGATTTGGCAAAAAGGACAGGACAGGGGGCTAGGAGAGACCCCAAACCAGTTCCGTGAATCTTTCTCTTGAATAACCTGATATGTACGAATTTTTTTTTTCCTGTTTAAAAAAAAAATGGCATAAATAGAGAAGAACTCTTGTTTCTTCTCTGGATGATTGTGACTGAAGGGAGAATGGTTGTTGAAAAGTTCAGTTGTATAGCAGTAGATGCATAGGGTTAATGCACACACACACACACACACACACACACACACAC